AAACACATCTATGTCATATAAAATGACTTCAATGTTAGCTCCAACGCCACTCTCATCCAGAACAATGAACAAGTGGTGGATGATGATCACATCTGCTTCCTCATGGATGTTCTTCATATCTTCTGGACTGACAGTATTTCTGCGACTTATTTCAATAAGAACTAGATTTCGTAAAGTTAAACCAGTTTGTGTTGGGTTATCTGCAGCTGTACTTTCAGTTCAAGTAAACTCTTGAGGATAAGGTCAGTCAGTTTACCTTTGTTATGTGTCACGGTTAGAGTAACATTTTACGGAGGTAGTAGTTTGACAATTTGTGTCGCCTACTTGCTTCTTTTCTTCTAGTCGTTCGAGCAAAACTTTTGATGCTGTAATCTAAAAATGTGTCGAACACTAAATATACAACCGACTTTTTCCATCTTCCTTGCGTTATGCCGTGTAATTGTTGATGTAGTTTTACATTGTTCCTTGTGAGGATCAGTTGATCACCCACAATACTGCTGATTCGTCAATCATTACACTAGTAGCCTCTGGGTAAACCATACTGTTACATTAACTTTTAGGTTGTTTTTGAAGGACGACTTGCTCGTGATTAGTCGCAGTTTACCTTTCGTTGTGAACACAGAGGTTCGAATTGGTGCTAATTCATACTTGAGAACCTCATCAAGTCCCATGACTCTACCAGACGCCTGTAGACCAACTATCCGTGAATATATCAAGTTGGGATTATATACTTTAGTTGAGTCTACTTGAATATGCTATAGCGTGAACTCGTTTAGGAAGTTTTGAGAGTATTTGGTTTAAGAGTGATGCCAATGATCCCTTTGGGTCCCGTTCCGTATTTCATGAATGTCGTTTTAATCGTCATGTTTGTCCACATTTCGTTCCATGTTCGCAGATCATGTCGTGTAACATGGTCTCCTTTCAAGAAACACTTCAAGATGTCTGGTGGCAGTGCTACGATCGACTGTAGATAGTAAAGGCCATAACGAGCATAATTAGGGTGATGTGCTGAGAAAACTAGAGTATCACAAGTTCTACAGCCCAGTCTGTTTCTTTTCATCTCGACAAAATAACTTCATGACCATTACTGATTAGATTAGTACATCTACCCAGAGCTTTGTGGTTTTGCTGCGTACTGTCCTCCGGTTCAGTTCAGCCATTATATCATTGGAATCGCCAGTTTCGTGCAGGATGTTGCAAAAAAAAGTTATTCCACTACCATTCTCAAAGTCCGAATATTTTGTGGGAACTTCTTGCCATTCAACACGTGAGTAACAGCACCAAATGCACATTCCATGATATCTGACAGTCCAACATTTTCCATTAGAGTTCCTATGCCCCAAATAAAGTTCATGATGAAATAGATAGCGTAGTACAAAATTGCTGAATCTTTCCGGATATACCCATGTGATGTTTACTGCCACTTTGTATAGTTTCTGGTCACATGTTAATACCCCAGTATTTTATCCGACAGATTTTACAAACTTCTCTGCTTCAAACATAGTTGTGAACATAGTGTCTGAATCGGATGGTTTCATATCAATCAGCGGTGTATATACGTATGAGGCTGCTGATCTTGTTGTATGGTCTGAGTGTTTACTAATAGTTGTATTCACTTATCACATGTGTTATATATATATGTATATACGTATGAGGCTGCTGATCTTGTTGTATGGTCTGAGTGTTTACTAATAGTTGTATTCACTTATCACATGTGTTATATATATGTATATACGCATGAGGCTGCTGATCTTGTTGTATGGTCTGAGTGTTTATTAATAGTTGTATTCACTTATCACATGTGTTATATATATGTGTGTGAAATTTTGTAACAAAGTATGAAGTTTTTTGAAAAAAATCCTTGTCATTAAATGGCATTCAGGTTTTTTTTTTCATTTAGTCTTTTGTTTCATTACCTAAACATTCACAATGATTTTGTCGGACTTGCCATAAGAGTATAAAACATGTCTCCAATCAATAGAACGATGGTCCTAGTAGGTTGTTTCTGCTCACAAACCTAGAAATGAACAGTTTAGTCAACATTCTATCACTTGTGGTTGCTGAGATATGTATCTATGCAATTACGCTTGAAATGAGCAGAAGGGTTACTATGGAAATCAGTCATTATTTAAAAATGATCAAGAGTGCCAGCTTCGCATTCTCCATTTTCTGATTGTATATGGTCTGAAGATTTAAAATCAACAAAGAACCATTGTCGGACCTCCAATGTAAGGTTAAGTAACAAAAAAAAAACTAATTTGGCTGCCAGATTATCTAATGTACCTAACAGAAAAATGTATTACGATTCAATACTTTTAACGATGCAAGGTCAAACTTGTTGAATAATAAGTTTATTAGGGTATTTAAAATACATAAAATAGTAGATATTTTTGTAATAATACTTTATTTCAGCTCACTAATAAGTTTACATACACACGAGTCAACAAGCACACACTGAAAAACTAACACTTGAACACAAACGTTTAGATCATTACTTTAAATATACCCGATATACAGATAAAAGTAGCAAAACCTATAGTTAAGAGCACATCACTTTGAGTATTAAAGGTTACCATTCTTTTCACGTAATATCAATTTAAGAACTACATACAAGCAACAACAGAATGAAAACCTTCACCTTGTTAAAGTATTTACGGTGTGCAATGACGAATGAAATACACGTCACATATTTGTGTCGGATATATGATATGATTTTTCGAGAGTTTTGTATAACCACAAGGGAGATCATAACACATTCAACAAAGAAAGCGCTTTTAGCTGGAGTTATTTTACTGAAAAATTTTAACTCCATAAAATTAAAGTGAGTTATTTGAAAGATTGAGAGAACAGGAGCGACAGCTTCTCCATCAAGCTCGGAAGGGGGCCTCAGATGACAGTTTTTCTGAAGCATTACTAGTCAGGCCGGGTGAACACATATACCTAAGTTACGTCCTAGAATATGACTTCCCCTAACTGAATTGGGGGTCCCACATGAGGTCAGTTATATTTGCCCCCCCCCCCCGAGACGCCTTGTGTTAAATGACACTCTCGTGATAGCAGTTATTTATCATATAAACCAATTTAACGTTGTATGAAATAATTCCACGTCATCGAACTTGACATAGCTGATTGAAACTGATGAGGCAGATTTAAAGAGAATTTTCTAGAAACACTTAAAATCACGAAACTTTCTAGACAGCAGTAACTTTAAAATAGATCTTTCAAAACATACTTGCACAATAAAGCAAATAATGCAAGCTAGAATAACTTTGGTACATTTGTAATGAGAGAAAAACGAGCGACTTAACGGTTCTGACGACAAGTTTTAAACAGAAGATAAGTTGTCAGTATTAATGACTATAATTTATTCTGTCAATATAAGTAAATACATTTATCCCTGTTATGTTGAAAACTAACATGATGCTGAAAAGTGAAGAAACTTATTCGTGACATATAACCAGTCGTGGTCTTATCTATTGGGTGATGTCGTAAAATAATAGAATGTTATACAGGAAAGCGAATAAACTTCCTTGTGACTATTATGGGTAGAATATCTGAGTGTATGATCAGATATGGTCTAATATATTCTGATCCTAAAAAAAGAGCGGTATCCAAAGTTCCTTCTTGATAGTCTACTTGATCCACAGATAAACAATTAGGATAGTGTGTTGGTAACAGAATTAGGACAAGTGGAAATAGCTAAAAATAGTTTAAATTATTTGAATAACAAAACAATTAAGAAACTGTATAGAATGACCCGAATCCTAAATATATTGCTTTAACAAAAACAGAATACTATTCTTTTGGATGAATTTCAAAAGACCCAAAAACTCGAGCGCTTTCCAGTAGTTGGCTATTCTTCTGTTGCTTTTGAAATCTACAAAGACTAAGTAGCACAAAATATTAAACTGTCCTGGGTTTAAAACAGAAGTCAAATATAAAAATATTTCTAAGCTGTAAGAAAACTATAATCGATAATAGAGAAAAATAGATAAAAAGACATTCACGGTGAAAACAATGTTAAGTTAGATAGATATACCAGCCTTAATATCTGATGTTAGAATTTGAAAACTATTCTGACGAACACCTGTTTGATAATAATCAATAAAAAACAGCTATTTTTAACGTTTTAATAATATATTTTTAAGTGGAATGTATTTAATATTTCTTTAAAATAAAAAAACAATAAAAAAACGACCTCAGTAACCAAGAAATCCTTCAGAATAGTTTCTTTAAAGTAACAAAAACTTCCACAAATTACTCAGTTAAACTTCAGCAAAGCACCAAATCAATATAAAGAATTAAATAAAAATGAACTTTATATATTTAACCTTCATTTTGAACCTGTAAAATTAAAACAAATAAATGTACTTTGGAGTACTGTAGTCTTTGCCAATTATTTTTACTTAAATCTTCGAAAAAAAAAAGTATATATATATATATATATATACATTAATCCTGACAGAAGAATAAAAACTGAAAAAATATATCTATATCCTGACAGAGGAATAAAAAGTTAAAAATATAATTCTCTACTCGTCTTCTCATTTTATCATGCTCTGTTGAAAACCACACATGCGTTTCGCCTTACTCAATTGGAAAATTGTGCATGTGAGCAACATTTAATATCCATTTTGATAGTTATCCTATTTTATAAAGTCAACATATTTATATAAATGTCTCCTATCTCGAAACAATTATTGTCATGTTAAGTGTTGTTAGAAAACCTGGGTTATAGCATAAGACAACCATCAAAACTTGGGCACACACACAATATCTCATGAAATCACTATTTTTTTTTATATTATTGTTGTTGACTCCTTTCAAAATTTGCTTTTAGTATGACCTGTAACCGTGAGCGGATCACGTGACAAACTGCAGTTTTTAATTCTTGCTTTAGACGTTTCTTTTGAAATAAAAGAAGATAAACTTTGATAGTATAAAACTTTGAATTATAACGTACTTGATTATAATAATTTTATTTAAATACATTGATAGTAAAGTGGTTTAATTAAATTTTGAATGTAACGCAGTACCAATTCAGAAAGAAATTTAAAAATGGCGCCGGAAGTTATAGGAATATGTTCAACGAGATAAGTTTGACACATCTTTTGGAGCTTTATTGATTGCGGAAAAGAGATTATAAAGTTACAAAATTAATTCAGTAATTTCAGAATTTACAACAGAGGTACTTATGTTTACGTACTTTGGGTATTTGCGGGTGTAGTTTGGAATCAGAGGATATAGATATTTGAGTGTGTATTTATGTACTTGGTGCTGGCTTCCTTGTGTCAGGACGTCTTCTGCTGTAGCTTAAACAGATTTTAAATATTCTGGAAAAGAGAAAAAATTTGTCTAATTTTGAAAATAATTTCAATGCCAAATATAGAGATTGTTTGTATAGTCGCTTGTAAAAAAAATGATAAATTGATTATTTAATTCTAATCTCTGAGAATGTCCATTTATAACAAAAATAGTTGTTTCACATATTTATTAAGTTGTTAGGCACAGCCTGTATTTTGAGTTTTGCGACAGAAATCTAGTTTCCCCTTTAGATGAAATAAATACTGAAGGAAATACTTCAACATGTGGAAGTTGGAAGTGAAAAACGAGTTTCTGCGAGATTCAAACCCCTGATTTTCTAATCAAGAATGTATACGAAACAACTAAGTTATCAGAGTTAGAATCTTGCTAAACTCAGTATTCACTTTTGACTTATTAAGGTATGCGACAAGGCAGCAGAACTTGTATTTCCTGGTTTATTTAAAATTTCAGCTCCGAAGGCTCGCGAGTTTTGCGATTTGCTCTGCAATCATCGGGTCTGCTTCAACAACATCAATGCTCACTGTTTTTTGGGTTGCCTCATAACCATTTCTAGCCTGATCATCCAGTGGTCGAGGTTTAAGTATTTTAAAAGGTAAGCGCACTACGATGGATCGATCAATACATCCTAAAACGATCTTCACCTTTACTTCATATGAAACTACTACACCATAAGGATTTTTTTCCTTGGGTCCTCCTGTAGTTGTTGTTGAGGCCAAAATCGGGCTGTCCTCTTGAAGGCCACTTTCCACCGCTAGAGCTACAGGATACTTAAGAAAGCTCATTAACTTGATAGCAAAATCACGTGATATGCTGGCGCCAGCTGGTATTGGATGTTTCTTGTCGGTCTCAGCGTTTCCGACGAGATTTTTGAAATGTCCATTAGTAAACATGCAAACCAGAACATGCTGAATGACGTATAGCTTGATTTTCTGGACTGTCTTGATGCTATTGTTGTTTAAGGTTACGTGAATTCGCAACGTGTCTCCATGCTGGTAAATCTCACGGTCCAATTTGACTTCAATATCAAGCCTCCCAGGACTGAAAGCAAAGGTTTTTCTCACCGAAGCTGTTGGATGTGTCAATGGATTAAAGTTTTGAGTTGGAGTGTAGTGTAGGCAACGTAAACTCATTCGGATTGAGCTTCTTTTGTAACTCCGGTCATCTAGTCGTTCACCTGAAAATACAAAAAAAAAAAAACCCGGATCATAATGAATCTAAGTTTCAAATGGATAGCAACTGCCTGTTGTAGACACCTACAAATGTAGAGGACGATGTTTCGAAAGTCTTCTGCCTTTCGTTTTCAGGTTAGTTTGT